TCTACGGAGTCCGTGCATTCAACCGCCGCACTGCCCTAAGCCCCATTCCCGTCCCTGCGCCGTGGGAAGGAGGGAGAGGCGGGAAGGAGGGAGGGGGTGGGGAAGGTGGTGTTTTTAGATCTGACTTTGTTTCTTGTTACCCTCTCCAGTAACTGCTAATAAATTGAACTGGTTTGTCCCCGGGCCGAGCCTGTTCTGCCCGGGCCGCGGTCGGCGGGTGCTCCCCTGTCCCTGTCTCACCCTCAGGGCTTTGCTCCATTTCTCCCCTCTCACCGCACCCAGGGGCACGGTGAGCGGCTGAGCTGTGGCTGAGCTGCCGCTGGGCTGGACCACGACACCAAGACTGCATTCAACACAAGGAAGTCAAAATTTGGTCTGGAAAACATATCCAGTTATACATATCAAGCTTTGTTTGCAACAGGTAAGGTGACAAATTTTGTGACACGCCTTTTTAAAGTATGACTAGTGCTATAATCTTCCTACTAACATCATCACCCTAACAAACGCACAGCTGTGAACAGCAGCAATTCCTTGCGCAGCAACCATCTTTGGACACAAGGAGCGAGGTCGCCTGTCCCACAGAGTGAGCCAAGGCAGCAGGACGAAGCTCTTCTCTGCTGAGCAACTCCCCCCTACCCCAGTGCTCAGCAGCACGCAGCCACACCGGTTATTCCATCCTGACTGGGTCTCCTAGAATAAACAGCATTTGAATGCGGTACAGGAAACACTACGGAGCAATTAGGAAGGAATATTCCTTTTAGGACAAGCAATCCACTCCCACTGGCTTCTCCTGTAAGTGCCTATCTGATGGGCAAGGGAAATTCTTGGACCACAGGACGCTGGAGCTGTAAATGGCTGAAGGGTTTAGCTGGATATAAGTAATACAGCATACTGTGAACAGAAAGGAGCAGGCTACAGTAAGGAAGGCTGTGTGGTCAAGCTGCAGGCATCACAGCCCTTACCGAGACAATAAAAAGCATGGTCTAAAATTCAAAGAAGCTAAACTGGGTCTTATCAGGTGGTGTTAACAGACTGAGTCTCTCCAAACTGCACAGGGATAACCTGCCTCACAGTGAGATACTGAAGGATTACTTGGGCAGAGGCAAGTACGTTACACGCAGGACTGGCTTCACATCACACGAGCAGACTGCCAGAGCTGCCTACAACGCCTTGGTAGCTCTCCCAGAGTTTATTACAACACCCTATTCACTCATGTGCAGCAAGAGAAGCTGCAGGTGCCAGGTTACAATACTTTTGTGCCAGAGACTGCTTTTTCAGGTCTCTAGCAAGCAGCCCAGTATCCTCATCTGTCTTCTTTCAGCAGTTACTCATAGTACCATGTTTTAAGATTCAGGAAGTAGGAACACTTCCAGTCAGCACATCTGTGAGACTCAGCACTAAACTGGGATCTATCATTTCTATCCCTAACAGCACTCCTTGACACTACAGTGGAAAGAAATAAAGCTAACTAAGTTTATGAATCCCAGCTCCAGAATATTATTGCTGAACTGTTGCATGTGTTCAACCAGCTGGCACTGGTTGGTCAAACCTTCAAAAAGCAACAGATACGCACAACAGCCAGAATGAGCTTATTTCAGGGAAAAGAAGTAGCAGCAGCAACAACAAAAGCTAGAGTGCCAGCACAGCAAACAACTGTTTCAGACAAGTGAGACAGACAACTGTCTAAGGAAAAACAGTAATGAATTTGGGAAGAACAAACAGGAACTTAGCTTCCACAAAGCCTCTGAAATTCAAAATTAAAAACTCGTAAGGAAAAAACAGGTTTTAGAAGCATAGGTGCAGATGTGCTAGAATATTACTACACTGCCTAAAAACAGACACACACTTTCATTACTCCTCTTTCTGGAAGCGATCTCCTGCTAGACCAACAGCATGGTGGCAAATACACTTGAGATATTATTTACTTTTAAAAGGTTCATGAAAACAGAATCAGACTTACAGCTTGTCCATTTGCTTCATAAAGTGGGCATTTTTGTTTGATCTTGGCCAACTCCATATTCACTTGTTTGCTGACCACAGCCATAGGATTTCCTCCTGGAAAACATTTTGTATAGTTAACACAGTACTCCTGCAAAGTTTGTCTGCAATTAAATAAAAATTCCACAGTTAAAGCTATTTCGGAGACTAAACACACTAATTCCAGTGAAAAATACATTCCGGTGAAGTAGTATAACATTATCAAAGGTCTACTCTTCACAGTAATTTTTGCAACAAGGTCATGGGAGAAAAAATAAAACAACACTTGTCCAACAACACTTAAAGGACAGTATGTAAAAAGCGTTTGAAAACCCAAGGAAAGCTCCCACAGCTGCACAGTAACTTCAGGAGCTTTTGGAAGTGTGGTGACATGGTGATGGAAACTGAATAACTCAGTCCTTAAAAACTTGGTGGAACGCCAACAAGTGACACAGTGAACATAATCTACTAAGATGAACCATGTACACCACTGTCCTGGAAGATGTGTAACTACACAGATTAGAAAACAATCTAGGAGAATCCACGTAGAAACATGAGGAAGGAAGAACGCATTGACTTTAAGCATCCAGAATCACTAAACATCAAAGCCTCTGCAAGTACAGCAGAGGAAAGAAAAAGAACAGACACAAATGGGAAATGGCACAGAAGATTCCTTCCACAAAATTAACTTTGGGAAAAGTTTTTCAGATGTACCTTCCCAATGCTCTCCGATTCTGCCATCCAATCAAATCCAGAGCCTTAGTTCAAAATAGAGGGGGAAGTTCAGCCACCTTAATAGCTCCCTTTAGAGAGGTGACTGAACAAGCAGAACAGAGTTTTGAAGTAAGTTCATGTTTCAAGTTCAATGACCTGGGAGAATGAAGAACCGCCCACTGTAGGAGAAGATCAGGTTCGAGACCATCTAAGGAACCTGAAGGTGGACAAGTCCATGGGACCTGATGAGCTGCATCCGCAGGTCCTGAGGGAACTGGTGGATGAAGTTGCTAAGCCATTATCCATCATATTTCAGAAGTTGTGGCAACCCAGTGAAGTTCCCACTGACTGGAAAAGGGGAAATATAGCCTCCATCTTTAAAAAGGGAAAAAAAAAAGACTCAGGGAACTACAGGCCAGCCAGTCTCACCTCTGTGCCCGGCAAGATCATGAAGCAGATCCTCCTGGCAACTGTGCTAAGGCACATAGGAAACAGGGAGGTGATTGGTGACAGCCAACATGGCTTCACTAAGGGCAAATCCTGCCTGACTAATTTGGTGCCTTCTACGATGAGGTTACAGCATTGATGGATAGGGGAAGAGCAACTGACATCGTCTACCTGGACTTATCCAAAGCATTTGGTACTGTCCCACATGACATCCTTGTCTCTAAACTGGAAAGACGTGGTTTTGATGGATGGACCACCCGGTGGATAAGGAATTGGCTGGATGGTCGCTCTCAAAGAGTTGCGGTCAACAGTTCAATGTCCACGTGGAGGCCAGTGACAAGTGGTGTTCCTCAGCGGTCAGTACTGGGGCCGGTGCTGTTTAACATCTTTGTTGGCAACATGGACAGTGGGATCAAGTGCACCCTCAGCAAGTTTGCAGATGACACCAAGTCATGTGGTGTTGTGGACACGCTGGAGGGAAGGGATGCCATCCAGAGGGACCTTGACAGGCTGGAGAGGTGGGCCTGTGAGAACCTCATGAAGTTCAACAAGGCCAAGTGCAAGGTCCTGCACGTGGGTCGGGGCAATCCCAAGCACAAGTACAAGCTGGGTGGAGAATGGATTGAGAGCAGCTCTGAGGAAAAGGACTTGGGAGTGTTGGTGGAT